ATTCATAAGTATGTTTTCATTAGAGTATAATCACCTGAATATAATCATCATCATCATTGTGTTTTTGTCACGTTAGAATAAGCTATTTTTCTACAGATCGACTGGGTCCTCACTAGCAAAACCCTGATAAAGCACATTCCTCTTACCATATGTGTATTAGTCCAGAACTGAAAGTAGTCCCCAACAAATTGCACCATTTCCTCCTGTTTGAGTGACGTTAAATCACTAAAATCCACAGTGCCCAGCTGTTTTAGGGAATTACAGAGCTCCTTTCTAGAACTAAACTATATATTTGTGAGCTTCCTTTTTTCAAAGCATTTATTAATTAAATTAAAATTAATTTAAGAAATGATTAAATTAATAATCAAAGAATAATTCCAAGCTGCACAGCATATCTTCAAATCCACTTGACTTTTTTTAGATGATAGCATATTATGCTATATTCTTAGCATGTTGCACAAGCGTTACCTCCAAGGTGTGTGTGTGTTTGGTGCAGCTAGATGTGGTCATGAGCAGCTAGATAATGTAAGGTGTTTTCCTTCATGCTCCTATAACGAGTATGAGTGATAAGAGGCTAATGGAGACTAATGCTAGCTATATGATATATTACAGGCTACAACATAAGGTGCAGGTCAGGGTTTAGTTAATGCTGCTGCTGCTGTTATGTGAGCGTGTAGGTGTGTGTTTCAGGCTATCTCAGTGGCCCTCTCTCACTGTGACGGCTAATAAACAGAGCTGCCAGCCTCTCTGCAGCCCCCCCACACACACTCCCCTCCACCCACCCAGCACCCTGCCTCGTACACCATCTGCCCCGAGCTACCGGCCCAGTCACAGCCTGCCCCGGCCCCAATGTGTGTGTGTGTGTATGTGTGTGTGTGTTGTAGAGAGAAAGAATGAACAGAGAGTGTGTCTTTTGGGTGTATGCACATGGGTGTATCATCATGACTATTTTTAACACACTATTTTGTCCAAGAAGGTTGGAGCTTGTTACAGTAGGCTAGTCCAGCTAATACTGTGTCAGCTGACCTTACTGTACATTTTATCACTGCAGAAAGTGTAATAATTTACCATCTCATCCCTGAGCTGCACTGTTGTCTAATGAGGCCTTAACAGAACACAGCAGAGGACTGGTGAGATATATTTAAGGGTCTATTGATTGTTATTCAATTCAAGCTGACCTGGTCGGTTAAATTTAGCCTCAAATGCAACAGGAGATCAAACCAGGAGTGAAAGTGACACTTGGGGGCTGATTAAGACTTTATGGCGGGAGGATCCGTCCTGCGGCTACTGACCCACAAGGGCTGCTGGATGTTTTCTGAAGGGGGAGAAGAGTCATCGCTTACTGTCATCCCCCTCTCTCTGATCTGTAATGACTATAGCATATGCTGCATGTATGAGGGGAGGGCTATGTGTGTGTGAGTGTGTGTGCATGCAGGGGACAGGCTGCACAGGGAAACCTTTATATATCTGATATTTCCCATCTGTAAATGTTCATCGAGGAGTCCTCTCTGAACATTCCCGCTGACTGTTTTTCTCTGTGTGTGTCTCTGCAGAAAAACGGACAAGGCCGCGACTGTATCTTCACTGAGATCGTTCTGGAGAACAACTACACGGCACTGAGGAACGCCCGCTACGAGGGCTGGTACATGGCCTTCACCCGTCGCGGGCGGCCACGGAAAGGCTCACGGACACGCCAGCACCAGCGCGAGGTCCATTTCATGAAGAGGCTGCCGAAGGGGCAGCAGCCCGCCCACCCAAGCCACCACCACCCTTTCGACTTCATCCACTACCCCTTCAGTCAAAGGACTAAACGTACGCGATCCTCGTCAGAGCGTTGAGTAGGGGGAAGAAGATAGGAAAGACAGAGGGAAAGAGGAGAAACTGACTGACTGACTGAATTACCAGCAGCCGACACACTCCTCTGCTCTCACAGAAAACCTCTAGAGACATTTTTTATACTGAGCATTACTATATCTTAATGTGTAGTTTGATTTCTATTTTTCTCAAAGTAAAAAAAAAAAGCTGTACATAGACAAAAAAAAACATGAGAAATCTATTTTTGTACTCCAGACTTAGTACTGACCTGTGTAAAAAAAGAAAAAGTAAAGTTTGTTTTTAGATGCACATAACTCATCGTCTGACTTACCGGGGACATGTTAGTAGTGTTGTTTTGGTTTAGTTTTTTGTTTCATTTTGACCAGTGGAGTCATTTTTTGGACTCTCGCCTGCTGCTCAAGGAGACTTGAAGGGCCCTGATTGACCGCACTGCCAGGGAACGCTGCGCTTCGGAGACACAAACTGTCACACACTGCGTCGGAGAGCGAGCGTTGCGTGAGCACGTGGTGGTGACACTGCGGTGTTGGAGCTCTCTGCTAGATGCTGCATCCCGACTGGGATCATTCTGTATCTTTCTCACACGGTTCGAGTGAAACAGAGCTTTAACAGCGTCTGATGGAACAATGTGGCAGCTACATTTGATAATCACAGGTTTCCTGTTCCTGTTTCCTGTTCTGTAATGTTGACGTGTACAAAATGCATTGAAGTGTAAGGAACCCCTCAACACACCCACTGCCCCCTGCCCTCTTGTGGTCTTGTTGCCCCCCTGAATGTCTGTTTTTATACATATATAAATATATTTTTATTTGAGGATGTGTAAAATAATTTTAAGGATGGAATATTTATTTAAAATGTGTAATAAATGTACATTAAAATACTGATATTAAACTTTTGTTTGGTACATGCTTGCTTTGGACCCATCTGTGAAGCCCTCAGGAGACCCACACAAGTTTGCTGACCATCCTTATCCTCTATGTATGGAGGCCCATTTCCGCCAATGTGACAGGGAAAACAAGGATTCTGTAAATCACTATAATACTAAGTCAATATTTTGATAAAGTTTCTCATTCTAATTACAGAATCCTTTTGTTGTTTCACATCACATTGAGCTATATCTATATCAATGCATACGTACTTAGCTGTGTGTAAATACATTTTAGCTTAGTGTTAGTCTGAGAGCGCCTGTACCAAGCCTGTAAGGTGTAGAAAAAAATAAAAAACCCATTTGTGTGCACACTTTACTTATCTCATGCTGTGTGCAAACCCAGCATGAAATAATATTTTTAACGTTTTAACATATGTTTAAGGGATATAAAGGATTACGCAATGTTTGTACCAGCAAATCTGAATTAAAGTGTGAGGATTTGAGTGACTTTGACAAGGGCCAAATTGTGGTGGCTAGACGACTGGGTCAGAGCCTCCAAACCTGCAAGCTCTTGTGGGTGTTCCGCGCGGTCCTGCAGTTGTCAGTACCTATCAAGAATTGGTCCAAGGAAGGAAAAGAACCGGAAGACAGGATCATCCGGGCCAAGGCTCAATGATGCACGTGGGGAGTGAAGGCTGGCCGCGTGGTCCGATCCCAGCAAACAGCTACTGTAGCTCAAACTGCTAAAAAGATAGAAAGGTGTCAGAACATACAGTGCATCTTAATTTGTTGGTATGGGGCTACAGAACATTATGAGAACCAGGGTGCCCAGGTGCTCAGAATGTTATGGCTGGTTGGGGTATCAAAATCAGAATCAGAATTAGAAATACTTCATTGATCCCCGGAGGGAAACTTATTAACTATAAACAGGCAGCATGCACTGTCGGTGCATGCGCACTCAGTGATGTATGTATGTTTTATGTCTCCAGCTATAGCATAAGTTGCCAGATATGGCTACTGAGCAGGGTGTTTTTTGTCTCTGTGCAGGCACGATAAGACCAAATTGTTGATTTTATATTTCTGTTTTAGTATAATTAGTTAATCAGTGACTTCTAGAGGTGTCAGCAGGTGTATTTTTGAACTTTGGACAAACCCAGGCTAGCTTTTTTTCCTGCTTCCCGTCTTTACGCTAAGCTAGGCTAACTATATCCCGATTCCAGCTCTGTTCATGAGCTCAATATCTAATCATTTTGCTGTTAGAAAGAAAGCAAATAAGCATGTTTCCCACAATGGTGAACTAATAAATGATGCCGTGTCCCATGTAAAGGAAAGCTCGGAATAAGTAATCACGCAGTCACACAAACAAATAGACATACGAATGGTAGCAAGCTACCATGCAAGGTGGGCAACTTGGGTTGTAGGCAGGTGGAGCTGGGGATTGAACGTACAACCCTGTGATCGGTGGATGACCCAGTTTACCTCCTGAGCCACAGCCACCCCATTATCATACACTAAAGCATACATGCCACATCAAAAGGGAAAAGTAATGCTGACCAGATTACATTTTCTTACAAATAATGAATAAATGTTGTTTAATATATCTGGCAAGGTCTGTGTACCAGCCAATAGCAGGTCAGCTATTCATAATGCTCATCATGCTAGCAATACAGCATGCAGGCAAATCTGACAGCCCTGCAATCCACCTCACAGATTATTTATTTAGTGTTTACATAATGCCAGTTTGTTTGTTAGCTAGCTGTATGTGGTCAGCTATCCATCACTGTTTTCCTGTCTTCACAAGCTATGGTAGAAGACAGCAGCACTCGCGGTATATGCTAGTATTTACAGGTCTTCACAGGTGTGGACATTTGTACCCGGCCTGTAAATCTTGTAGTTGAAACAGAAGTAGACCCAGCTGTTATGAAAATGTAAACCCAACTTGAACAGACCAACAAGTGGACCAAAGGTGGAAACAGAAGCCAAACAGACCCAGTGACCCAAGACCGGAAACTGTGGTTGTTGAAGTTTGCTGAAGCTCTTCCTCCAGTCAGATTGAAGCCTGAGTCGAACACTTGCTCATCTGCTTATTCGCTTGGAAAACCGTTAATTAAAGGTTTGCTCTGCCAGATTACAACATACGTTCTCTCCAACCCCTCAAGGTTTTGAGATATCTGTCAGTACAATGGAGAAGAATACATTTTCATTGGTAGTGCTCACAGTACTGAAGTATGAAATTTATCAGTTACAAAGAACCATCTGGGAACTCGTCATTGGAAGCTGTCTGGAAAAGGGCAAGCACTTTCAAGAAATACTTGGTCAACAAGGGACAGCATAGTATTAAATTTCATGTTCGCAGACTGTATACGCTGGCAAACACGTGATAGCACATCCGTGTCCTTCCACAGACACCCAGTGTTAATTAGTGGACTATAGCCACAATTTGGAACCGCATTGAAAATGGTAGCCATGGTTGTCATTGGATTGGAGTCTTGGATTTACCCTGTTGTGTTGGGGTGTAGCTAGAAATGCTAGAGAACAAAAATCTCCATACCTGAACAAAATTTTAAATAATTATTGTTGACTGTTGTTGAATCCTGAATGGTGGGAAAATGCAAAACTTAAATTACATTACAATGATCTCATAGTTTAAATTTTGTAGTATTTTGATAATATTATGGTACACACACATAACATAGTTTGATAACTAGTGTGCTAACATATCTGGCAAGTCACAAAATGTAGATTTCTTATGATTATATTTACGCACTTAAATCAAAAAGTCACTTACAGTATGACACATATTGTGTTTATTGTATTAGCCAGCCAAAACCACAAACCACATACCAACCAGCTATGTCGAGTACTTCCCGGTACATGTAGCGGCCCCTTTACTACAACTCATGAACACATTATACATGTCATAAAATAATTGCTGAAAACATTATAAAAGACTGTGAACTATGTAGTACTGAATTGTGGACTTAGACCGTTAAACAATTTTTCACTAGTTTTCGGTTCCGGATTTCTAGATGACACTTTGGAGCCATACTTAGCATAACCTCTCCCCTAACGCAGTAATGTTATAAGACGTACTTGTTCGCAAGTTATTACAACTGTTTCTTTACTAGACTATTACAAACGTTTGCAATATGCAGTATGCCTTCAACATGCATCTTCCCTGGATGTGAGAAATCAGCTTGGTCACTTTATTTAAATTTCTGAAGGATGATGCTCTGAGAAAGAGGTGGACCAATTTTGTGAAGAGCTACGTTGATGGAGAGGTGAAAATCACCACCAACACCCTCCTTTGCAGTGACTGGGATTCATCCTCCCATCCCCCTGAATTCAAATTTGGCAGGGTGGATAATAACACTTTTTGCTTTGGTGTGAGAAACTCAGAAATCATATTTATTATTGCTTCACACAGACTTGTCTCTGTTGCAACAGTAGCATTTATTAGTTATGTCTGTGGCAACAATGTCAAAAAAGAGTGCACAAATGGTCATAAAACGGTCTATAGTAAAACAGTTCAGTAGCCTCCAGGCCAAAGCAATAGCTCTTTACATCTCCAACCAAAATCTTGCACATATCCAGAACCCATAGCAATCCAGTTCTTAGCCTGACCCACCTTATTAAAGTCGCAACCCGTTGTATACCTCATCTGTCTATTCGCCTTTACTTACAACAGTATTGATAGGATTTTCAGTGTTATTTTTTGTTGGAGGTTTGTTGAGTGTGCTTTTTCTCTGGCGTTAACCTTCTTAAACCAGCAGCTCTCAACTGAACAGAAAGGAAATGCTGTGGCCTTTGGTTTCTCCCCACATGAAACCTGACCAGGGAAAGCTAACAGGGAGGGTATTCTTAGTCTGATCCCAACAGGGATAACAAGGTCATTTGAAGTCATGAAGATCCCCCCCCCCTTCCCTTCCTTTTTAGCAGATAGCAGCATGTCAGTGTCACAGCGCTTTGCTGTTGTGAGGATGATACCGCTGTGTTTGTTTTTAGGCTTTACCTTCCTTCAGGTTCTGTAACTCTTAGTATCTCCACTGTTATTCTTTCATCTCCTGCCTTTTAACACCCCAACGTTTAATCTGATTGGACAGTCCCAGCAGGCACTAGTGTGTGTGTGTGCATGTATGTTTGTGCGGAAGAGTTAGATCCAGGCAAAATTTCATGTCACAATAATCTTGGCCAAAATAATTGTGATACATTATCACAATAATCATGAAAATGTACTTCATACTTTTAAAATAGCACTATAATCATTTTACCTTAGATTTTGTTAAGAAACACATATTTATTGCATCACAGAAACCTCATCTGTGTGTGTGTGTGTTTGTGTGTGTGCGTATGTCAGTTTCTCAGTGTTCGTCTGTGTGTTTGTTTGCCAGCAGGAGAGCAAATAGTCCCAGCACTGATGATTGAAAGTTGGCCATAAAAAAGAGGACATTTGTTGCAAAGCGCTCATTCTCCTCTCTTACACTGTCTCTCTCAGACTTGTGCTGTCAATTGCTGCAATTGACAGCACAATGTTCCCAAAAATTTATTCCAAACTTTACAAAGACCTTTTTCAGCTCACTGTGGCAGTTTTCAAACTAAGAACTGTTTGTACTGTAGTGCATGGAAACCCAAACTTTTACATACCAAGGTTGTCCATAAACATTTGAGGGTTTGGGCACATTCAGAATTGTCATGGGATGTCACCTAGGTCTGGTCTGTGTAACAAAGTAACGCAAACCATTGGCTGTCCACTGTGGGCTAGCTTTTTTATAGTTCTCAGTGGAGAGTAATAAAAAACAGTCATTTATGCTGTAATGAAGAATACAACCAAATTAACTGGGTTAAGCTAGAACAACAAAAATACACTACTAACAACACAGAAGCACTCACATCAGAGAAAGTCATGTCTTTTGATCAATAGACGGTTCATGTTTATTCATGGTTATGTTATGTATTGGTTTATGGACTTAATGCGCAAAAACAGATATTCAAACTTTAATAACTGAATGTAATGTTTGACCAGTTTTGACAGCACT